GACAAAGTCTCGCTCTGTCGCCAGGCTGGAGTGCAGTGGCGCCATCGCAGCTCACTGCAACCTCCGCCTCCTGGGTTCAAGCGATTCTCCTGCCTCAGCCTCCCGAGTAGCTGGGACTGCAGGTGCATGCCACCATGCCCGGCTAATTTTTTGCATTTTTAGTAGAGACATGGTTTCACTGTGTTGGCCAGGATGGTCTCGAACTCCTGACCTTGTGATCCACCTGCCTTGGCCTCCCAAAATGCTGGGATTACAGGTGTGAGCCACTGCACCCGGCCATAAGCTGATTTCTTTAACGTTCAGTTTCTGAGTTTTTTAGGATTTCAGGGCTACTGAAATGATACCATAGACCCAACTCATGCAGAGGTGATGAGTACAACGTGATGGGTACAGAGGGGCCGGCCGGCTACCTCAGCGTTGCTCCTGAATCTCTGCCTAGCTCCCACAGAAGCAGCTCTGAAATAACCCAGCGGGGAGTTGCATGTGACAGACTGAGGCTCAGGGAGGGAAAGTCCTCGGCCAAGGTCACAGAGCCGGAGTGGCAGAGCTGGGATCGCATCCCAGGTCTGTCTGATGTCATTGCTAATGTCAGTGTAACGGGAAGAGACCTCAGCCTTGATATTATCATCAACAGAGAATGGTCGAGCTCCACCCCGCAGTAGTTTATGTCATTTGACTTGGCTGCAATGTAGTTAAAAAGGAGCCACAGCCCCTGCCTCTGCCCGGGCCCCAACAGTTTCTCCAGCTGCTATAATTTTATTTTCTTTTTTGAAACAGAGTCTTGCTCTGTCACCCACGCCAGAGTGCAATGGTGCAATCTTGGCTCACTACAGCCTCTGCCTCCCAGGTTCAAGTGATTCTTCTGCCTCAGCCTCTCCAGTAGCTGGGATTACAGGTGTGAACCACCACACCTGGCTAATTTTTGTATTTTTGGTAGAGATGGGGTTTCATTACATTGGCCAGGCTGGCCTCGAACTCCTGACCTCAGGTGATATACCTGCCTGGGTCTTCCAAAGTGCTGGGATTACAGGCGTGCGCCACTGTACCTCCAGCTTCTATAATAGCTCCCCCCAACCCCACGGATCTGAGGGTAACTGAGCTGACCAGGGCTCCCAGGGCAGCCAGTGAGGCCAGGTGAGGGGCTGTATCTGCGCCAACTTGCTGTACGGTGGCCAGCACGCTTTCCGCTTCAGGCAGCACCTCTGCCACAGCCATGCCCAATGCTTCCTGGGCTGCCTGGACCTCCTGGTACCTGGGAGGAAACAGAGGCCGTGGAGCGGGAGGCAGGACTGGCCCTCCCCATCCCTGTCTGGGCCCCAGCCCGGAGCCCTTGGTTTGCAAAGGCCTCTGCCAACTTCCCAGGCAGAGCAGCCCTCTGCAGGGCCTGCACAGCTGCCTTGGAAAGTGGCCGCTTCTCTGCAACTTTCCAATGAGCCAGACGGGCTGTGAAAGGGCCACATTCTTGTTCCTGCATCATTCAGTTCAGCCACACTTTGCTGAAAGGGCTCTGCTTGGTTTCCACTCAAGAATCACATGTTTGCAAATGTTTGGCTCTTCTGGGTGAATGGCGAAGAGGAAAATGCCTGGTGAAGTGGGGAGCGCAGTGGCCCCGGCCCTGGTCCTGCCTCAGCCATGCCCTTCCCAGTGACGCTGGGCACATCCTCGCCGCTGATGAATGGAGGGCCCTGGGCTGTCGAACCCCTGTGTGCCCTTTCGCCCTGACTGCCTGTGTCTATAACCAACCAGCTAGGATGGGTTTTCCATCCTGACCAGCTGTCCACACCCTGTCCCACCCATTCCTCCCTGACAAGGGCAGTGCTGGGGTGGAGACCCCTGGCTTCCCTTCCATCCCTTCCCCCTTTTTAGAGAGCCAGTGCCCTGCCCCTGGGTGGCTCATGTGACTGGCTCAGGGCTGGACACCCGATCTAAGTGGAGTCAATCCCATTCTCATTTAGGAACGCTCAGCAAGACGCTGGGGAGTGTCCATGGACCTTTAAACTGAGAGGGACAGAGTGGGCCACCAAAGCAGAGAAGCAAACTGCCTGCTCTGCAGAGGCAGAGAAAGAAGCTGGTGCTGTGGAAGAGCTCAGAGGAGCTGCCCTGGGCTGGGGCGCAGGGGCCAGGGTGCAGGGGACGCTGCAGAGGGAGAGCGAGGGATCTGATGCTCTGGGTTCTGGTTCCTGTCCCTTCTCTTCAGAGGCTGAGTTGCACCCGCTAGGCACAAGTGGTTACTGCGACTCACCACCGAGTGTGCCCAAGACCCCGTGGCCCCACTCCGAGTGGGATGCAGACCCAAGACACCCCAGACACCGATGACAAAGAACATTGGGACTTGAGGGAGCCAGTTCCGGAAGCAGCAGCCTCTGGCCAAGCTCTGTCAGCTCCAGAAGGCCAACGCCAAGCTTCTAGCCACACCTGGGGCGACTCACCTGTCCTCCAGGTCCCGCTGGGTCTCCAGGGCCACCCTTCCCTCCAGCAGACTCTGGAGAAGCATGTAGCTGGTGTTGGAGGCGAGCAGGGCCCTCTGAGCAGTGGCTGCGATCTTGGCAGCGGCGTCTCTGTGGCTGTGTGAGGACACCCACCTGACCGTCAGCAAGGGCTCGCACAGAAGGGGCTCAGGACCAGAACTACACCCCCTACGACCCAGGCCTCCTGCTTCCCCAAACAGAGGACAGCCACAAAGATGGGGACTCCTTTTCCACCTTTCTGTGTCACACACTTTAAAGACTGATAGGAAGCATACTCCACGCCCTGTTCCTGTTACATGGAGTTTGTGACTGTTGTGTTGACATAAGGATTAATTGGACCTTTTTTTTCTTTTTGAGATGGAGTCTCTGTCACCAGGCTGGAGTGCAGTGATGTGATCTCAGCTGATTGCAACCTCCCCCCCACCGGGTTCAAGTGATTCTCCTGCCTCAGCCTCCCAAGTAGCTGAAATTACAGGCTCGTGCCACCATGCCCAGCTAATTTATGTACTTTTAGTGGAGACGGGGTTTCACCATGTTGGCTAGGCTGGTATTGACCTCCTGACCTCAAGTGAGCCACCCTCCTCAGCCTCCCAAAGTGCTGAGATTACATGTGTGTGCCATCGCGCCTGGCCTTAAGCTGCTTCTTAAAGGCAGTAGATGAAACAGCCCGAGTGTCTGTTAACAGGTGAACGAATAAACAAAATGTGGCAGTTCCATTCAATGGAATATTATTTGGCCATAAAAAGGAGTGACGCACTGGTCCATGCCATGGCGTGGATGAGCCTTGAAAACACTGTGCTTGGTAAAAGAAGCCAGTTGTAAAAGGTGATACATTGTCTGATTCCACTTCTATGAAGTGTCCAGAATAGGCAAATTTAGAGAGACAGAAAGTAGAGTTGTGGTTTCCAGGGGCTGGGGAGATAAGGAGAAACAGTGGGTGGTGGCAAACGGGTCCGGGGATTTGTTTTTGGGATAATGAAAATCCTGACCAGGCACGGTGGCTCATGCCTGTAATCCCAGCACTTTGGGAGGCTGAGGCGGGCAGATCACAAAGTCAAGAGATCGAGATCATCTTGACCAACATGGTGAAAACCCGTCTCTACTAGAAATACAAAAATTAGCTGGGTGTGGTGGCACATGCCTGCAGTCCCAGCTACTTGGGGGGCTGAGGAAGGAGAATTGCTTGAACCCGGGAGGCGGAGGTCGCAGTGAGCCGAGATCACGCCATTGCACTCCAGCCTGGGCGACAGAGCAAGACTCCATCTCAAAAGAAACGAAAAGAAAATTCTAAAATTGGTTGTGATGATGGCTTTGCTACCTGAGAATATAGGGAAAACACTGAATTACACAGTGTGTGAACTCTACCCCAATATAATAACTTGTATATTATACAACTGTCACAAAGGGAAAGCCAGCAGATGCTCTCCAATGCCTTCAGTCAACAAAGCTTTGCCCCCAACATCTCTGCACTCACTCACCTTGCCTGCCCTTCCCCTTACTGGTGACACTGCTCCCACCAGGCAGCTCTTGTAATATCTGATCCCGACTCCTGGGTGGGGGCACCTGTGGGCTGACTGTGACCCTGGAACCCCCAGGAGAAGGGCCAGGTACAACCTCACCATGTCTTGGGACTCACCTCCTGGCGAGGGCACGGGCCTCTGTGGCCGGGTGGCTCCAGTTGCTGGGCTGGCCAGGCCCTTCCTGAGGAATCTCCTGTAGAAAGAAGAAGAGAGGAAACTGACAGCCTGTCCCCAAAGGGCAAGGGCTGTATCTGGCTCAAGGGTGGGGCAGAACTGGATGGCACCAGCAGTTTTGTAAATGTACAAAGCTGGCCACAACGTCGGCATCCAGTGAGCGGAGTCCCAGGACGCAGAAACAGCAATAAGGACGCTGCCCACTGCTTAGTGCACATCCAGCCTCCTCGGGGCACACCTCGCCCTTCGCAAACGTCCCCTCACTGAATCCGCGGAGGAGGCGCTGTGTGATCCCCATTTTGCAGACAAAACTGAGCCTCCCAAAGTGGGGAGTCATACCCAAGGTCACCAGATCACTGGCGGGGCTGGAGCAGGGAACAACGCCCTGGATTGGTGCGTTTTGGTTGGTGGGGCGGGGGCCCTGGGATACCAGAGACGTAAGAACAGCAGCTGCGTGCAGAATCTCCTCTTCTGAGGACGCCAGCACTGCCTCCAGGTCTGACAGCTGGGTGCAGGTCTTCTGGGCTCCAGCCTGGGCACAGCGGGCACCCTTACTCAGCCTCTGCAGCTGCTCCCGAGCAGTCTTCACAGCACCCTCAAGGCCTATCATCTGCTCCTGGAAGGCTTCCCGAGCCCCTAAAGAAAGCCCACAGTCCAGGGGTCACAGAGTGGTGGAGACATCGCCCAAAAGCCCCCACCCCTGGGGTCCCCTTCTGTGCCCTCCATTCCCCAGGCATCAGCAACCCAAACACCAACAGGTAGTCCCAAAGAGAAGAGCCCCCCGTTTTATGGATGCAGGCTGAGGCCCAGGGAAGGCAAACATGACCCAAGGTCCCACCCACAGCAAGTCAGCCTTACATAGGGACCGGGAGGGACCCAGGCCTTCTGCAGCCACACCAGCAGTCCTGGATGGACCCCCTGCTCCAATAAGCTCCAGCTCACACGGTGCCTCACACGTGGGCAACTGAAGACGTGGTATCCGATAGCCCCTATGTCCACAGTGAGTCCTGCTAACAGGTTCTCAGCTTGCCTCTGTCTGGCTGCTGAAGGAGCGTAGCACTTACACATGTGAAACCTCACAAAGTAATCCAGTCCATTTCAGCGCCATTTCCAGGTCCCAGGCCAAATTCCTCCTGGCTTTAGTGAGTTTCCTTCTTTTTTTTTTTTTTTTTTGAGACCGCGTCTCGTTCCGTCGCCAGGTGCCAGGCTGGAATGCAGTGGCAAGACCTCGGCTCACTGCAACCTCCACCACCCGGGTTCAAGCAATTCTCCTGCCTCAGCCTCCAGAGTAGCCAGGACTACAGGCACACGCCACCACGCCCAGCTAAGTTTTGTATTTTTAGTAGAGATGGGGTTTCACCATGTTGGCCAGGATGGTCTCGATCTCTTGACCTTGTGATCCGCCCGCCTCGGCCTCCCAAAGTGCTGGGATTACAGGCGTGAGCCACCGCGCCCGGCCAGTTCCCTCCTTTTTTTCCTTCCTTCCTCCCTCCTTCTCTCTCTCTCTTTCTCTCTCTCTTTCTTTCTCTTTCCTGTACAGACAAGGTCTTGCTATTGCTGCGTTGCCCAGGCTGATCTTGAACTCCTGGACTCAGGCAATCCTCCTGTATTGACCTCCCGAAGTGCTGGGATTACAGGCATGCGCCACCGCGCCCCGCCCGCCTTTTTTCTTATTTACTCAGGTATTAGTATTTTCTATGCCTGAGCGCTGTGCTGGGCTACAGCAGTGAGCGACACGGCCAAGAATCAAAGCGATGGGGCCCTCCAAGTCCAGCCTCTGGAGCAGCGCCTCGTGACCCCCTTGTGGAGGGAGTGAATAAAAGAAGGAGCCCAGCCTGTCTCACTGAGCTTGGAGTCTGGGTAAGGCAGGGTCATGGGGACAAGGACTGATATTAATAAAGTTACAGGCGGGCTAGGGACATTGAAGGAGAGGCCCACAGTGACCGGGTTGTGTCGTGAGAGCCTCCAAAGCATCTGACAAGACCAGACTGCAGGTGCTGGGGGCCTCCCCTTGCCTCCCACCCTCCCACTCTGCCCCCGCTGTACCTGGCAGCAGGTGGGGGCTCTGGTAGACATCCCCCCTTGGGGCCTCTCCCTGCAGAATGTCTAGTGGTCCCCAGGGACTGCCGCAGTTGGACCCTTGCAGCCACCCCTCCATCAAAGTCAGTCTGACCTTCAGCTTGGCTGCCTGGAGGGGACGGGGAAGAAAAGGCAAATGAGGCTGGTGGCATGGAGGTCGGCCCAGGCTTCCCCCCGGCTTCTACCTGCCACTCTCCCTGGGGGTTCCCTTCTCCAAATCCTCCCCTGGACCTCAACACTCAGGGTATGCCACAGCTCTGAGAGCCAACCCTGCCCAGCCCACGGTTGCCGCCTCTTCCCTTCCCACCCCCATGCCTCCTGCTGACATCGCTGACCACTCTGCTGTCCTACCTTGGAAGGGAGGGAGGAAGGGACGGGAAGGGACGCCCCACAGGGATTTCTATCTGTCCTATTCACTGGGTCCCCAGGATTCTGCACCAGAAGGCACGCTATGGACACTGGTGAGTGGGCTATAAACGTCCCCTAGCCCCGTGTTTTCATTGGACAATCACTGCATTTACAGAGCATGTCCTGGGAGCCAGGCTCAGCACCAATGCCTGCCACACGCCTGCCCGATTACCCCTGTCACCACTCTAAGTGGCAGACACAGGTCCCAGGCCCTGTCCTCCATTCCCAAGTCCAGAATGTTCTGGAAAACCACAAGGCATTCCATTCCTCACTCGAGAGCAAAATCTGACCTGAAGTAAAACTGTTCTGAAAAAGGCCACTGTGGTCTCCATTTACCCGCTTGGTGGGAATAGTCATCTGTCTTCCTGTATAAATATCACTGGGCTTGACTATGGAGGCTGGCCCGTTCACAGTGGGGAATTATGTAATATTTAGTGCAGGCCATTTTTATTTTTTCTTTTTTTGAGACAGAGTCTCGCTCTGTCACCCAGGCTGGAGTGTGGTGGCGGCATGATCTCAGTTCACTGCAACCTCTGCCTCTTGGGTTCAAGCAGTTTTTCTGCCTCAGCCTCCCGAGTAGCTGGGATCACAGGTATGTGCCACCCCACTGGCAGATTTTTATATTTTTAGTAGAGACAGGGTTTCACCATGTTGTCCAGGATGGTCTCAAACTCCTGACCTCAGGTGATCCATCTGCCTCAGCCTCCCACAGTACTGGGATGAGAGGCGTGAGGCACCGCGCCCAGCCTCAGTGCATGCCATCTTATCTTTCTACAATGCCACAAATTCTGAAAGCTGGCCCCAACGGTTTCCAGAAAAGGGCTGCAGGTCTGAACTATTTCCAGTCTAGAGCAAGAGAGAGCCCGAGGCTTACCAAGGCTGTTGCCTACCCAGGCACATGACAATGAACGGAGCTGGCGGAGGGGAAGCCCGATGGGTTAACTAGAGCTTGAACTCCTGACTCCTGCACCCCCCACTCCCGACTCAGAAGCACCTCCTGTGGACCCTCCTTACTAAGGGGTTATCTGTGGTCTCATCCCCACTGAACCTGAGAAAAGTGAGACCTCAGCCCAGTGTGGTCAGGAAGAGCAGGTGACAAGAGTCCCATTCACCCAGAACAGGGGAAGGGCTGGGGTGAGGGTGGAGCGGGGCTGGAACAGGCCCGGAGCTGGGTGGGCACAGGGAGAAGGTGGGTAGTGGGCTTGCAAGGTCCGAGCGCTTGGGTGAGCAGGCAGTTCCCGGTGCCTGGCACACAGCTGGCTCTCGCTGGGGACACAGAATGAATGGGAAGGTGAGCAGTTCTGGGTGGACCCACCTCCTCCTTCACCAGGGCGTAGCAGGACGGGCACTCCTGGCAGTGTGTGCCGTCGGCCGTAAGGAAGAAGTTGTCGTGGCAGCGGTCGCATTTGTAGCCCTCAAAGCCAGGCCTGCACACGCACGTGCCATTCTCCCGGCACTGGGCTGAGGCGGCGCCCAGCGGGGAGCACCTGCAGGCTGGAGGGGCCAGGGGCAGTGCATGCTGGGTTCTGGATCAGAACCCCCTGGGCAGCATCAAATACAGACTCCTGGGCCCTGCCCTGGAGAGTCTCATTCAGAAGGTTGAAGGCGGCACACAGCCTGGCTTATTCCAATGTTCCCTAGGGGATCTGAGGACAGCCAGGTTTAGGAACTGCCAGTGCAGCCCAACTCTATAGGTGAGGAAACTGAGGCCCCTCATGTTACCATCATGAGGTAACATGATGGCCCCAGGCACACAGGCACTTCACAGTGGCATCTGGGACTATATTCCTGGCTGGCATGAGGATGCTGGCAGAGGGCCAAAGACTTGGGTGAGGGTCACAAGCACAGCTCTGCCCCAACTGCTCTGGGTCACATGACCCTGCTCTCCTGGTCAGTGCCAGGGCAGCATCTCACTCCTGAGCGTCCTTCCCAATTAACTCACTCCACGCTTCCAGCTGCTCTCCTGTCTGACCATCCTCTCCCGCCGTACCCATTTGCCCCATCCATCATCTTTGCCCAGAGACCTCAGGCCCCACCCTCCCGGCAGCCTGGGAAAAACCCAGCCTCCTTACCCCGGCAGCCCTTGATGGAGAAGCCAAAGAAACCCAGCTGGCATCTGTCACAGGCCTGGCCTGTGACGCCTGGGCGGCAGGTGCACTGGCCAGTCTTGGGATGGCACTGATCCTCTTGGGAGCCCAGTGGGTGACACTTGCAGCTGTGATAAGAGAAGGAACTGGGTCTGAGGCAAGCTCAGTGCCATCCCTGACCCAGCCTCTGGTGGCTGCAGCTGGTGGGGCCTCAGCTCACAGCCCTTGCTGACCAGACCCTGTCTCCATGAAGAGGAGACAGGGTCTGGTCAGCAGGGGCTGTGAAACAGGTACATGGCACAGCTTCCCCAGCTGTGCTCCGGAAAGCACAATTTTCCCAGGATGCTCGGGGAAAAATGAAGATAAAATAAGGCTATGGGACAAACGTGTCTCGGGGAGCCTACACCCCTTTGCTGGAAAGTCACGATGCAATTAGCACATTAAGGGCTCGGAGAAGTCCTGCAAGGAAGAAACCTGTTTGCTCCACTTGGTGTTTCCCGGGAGTCCTCCGCTGTTCCCTAAGGACGCTTGTCCAAGGTGCTACTGTGGCCAAAAGGCCACCCAGTGATGGTGTCACCGAGAAGGGAATCAGAGAGCAAACCAGCCACCTGCCCGCCTGGACATCTCTTAGGGCTGCTCTTGGCTCAAATCCTGGGCTGGCAGAGCCATGATTCCGATGTCAAGAGACTGTCCCTTTGCCCCCCTTTGGTGTAGGGCACAATGTACATGGCAGTGGGCCTGGGACAACACCTTCCAAATCAGTCCCCTCCCTGGGGGCTGCCTGGCACCTTCTTCCATCCTGGCAAAGTCCCCAAGGCACCAACAGTCTCACCCTACCTACCTCCGGCAGCCCCTCCCAGCCTGGAGGTCAAAGAAGCCAGTGTAGCAGCGGCTGCAGTCTCGTCCCGTCACGTGAGGCAGGCAGGAGCACTGGCCGGTCATGGGGTCGCAGGGTATCTGCTCACTGACCGAGCCCTGTGGGTGGCAGCTGCAGGCTGGCGGGGGGAGCAGAAAGGGGTGTTGGGAATGTGCAGATTGTTTGCTCCACTGTTCGGGGTCCAACAGAGGCAGAGAGGATGGGGCCGCCTCCAGAGACGATACCGCACATTCAGCCCAGATTCTGATGCCCCTGCTGGAAAAAGGCTCCAGGGCTGAGCTCAAGCCTCAGCCCATTGACCGTATCCTTAGAGGGACAGCCCAGGCAGTCACGGCGGCAGACAGCCCTTCTGAGCCTGGCAGGCTGCAGAGGGCCAGAGACGTGGGTGAGGGTCACAGTTACAGCCCTGCACCCACTGCTCTAAGTCCCGTGACTCTGCTTTCCCAGCGACTGCCAGGGCAGCGTCTCGCTGTGGGCCAGAGTGGCATTTCCTGTGGGGGTTCCACAAAGCGAGAGTGAGCGGGACCCGCGGCTGCAGCGTGGAAAAGGGCTCCAAGCACACCGATGTGGGGCGAAGGCTGAGCTTCCCTCCTGCAGGGCTCTGGAAGCTCCCAGGGGCTACGTGTTAACGGAGGCGATGTTGGGGGCATGGCCTCGGACCCTGGGCACACGACCCTGCGCCAGCCATATGGGCCAACTGCAGAGTGGGAGATAAGTGCTAGACTATCCAGGCTTCAGGATCGGAGCTTCTAGGATCTCACAGCTGAAAGAGACCCCGGAGAGGGGCAAACCCTTGTGCTTTCTGGACACGCAGACAGGGAAGGGGAGTAACCAGCTGAGGCTGCACAGCCTTGCAGAGGGGCCAGCCAGTTCCAGCGGGTTCCTCAGCACCCCCCTTCTGCGTCCTAAGCCAGGGTAGAGGAGACGAGGCCCACCGTGCACCCTCCCCCGGGGTCTGGAGGCAGGTACTCACGTGTGCATTTGTCTGTGGGCCGAGGGGCCAGGGCGCTCCCGTAAAAGCCTTCCTGACAGTGCTCACAGTGGTCACCTGTGGTGTTGTGCAGGCAGCGAAGGCAGTGGCCAGACAGGGGGTCACAGTTGCCCACGGCATTGGGGTCCGCATTCCCGCTGCACTGGCACTGGTGGCAGGGCTGGGGGGCCCCAGAGAGCCCCAGCGGGTCCCCAAAAAAGCCATCGTCACAGACCTCACAGCGCCGCCCTGCGTGTAAGGGAACACGTGTGGGGAACGCAGCCAGCTGGTCCTGCCAGGAATGAGGGTGGGCGAGAGGCAGAGCGAGCATCCCTGCAGCCTCCCCGGAGCAGAGCACGGGCTCAGGCAGGAGGGCCTGGGCCAGCCCCAGTGGCTGCCCGCAGCTGTGTGGTCCTGGGCAAAGCACTGCGCCTCTAGGAACTCAGGTTTCTCATCTTTAAAGTGGGGACAACAACGGCGGCTCCCCACAGGACCGAGGGGAGGGTTTGGTGACATAATTTGTGAAAAGCACTTAAAATCCGGCCTGGCATGTGGTAAGTGCTCAGCAGTGGCTGTCATCACACATCTGTCCCCACACCCTCATCATCGTCACCATTATCTGCACCGTCACCACTTTCCTCACCAAAACCTCACCCTCATCATCACCTGCTTCATCCTCCTTATTTATTTATTATTATTACTGAGAAGGAGTCTCACTCTGTCACCCAAGCTGGAGCGCAGTGGTGCGATCTCGGCTCGCTGCGGCCTCTGCCTGCAGGGTTCCAGCAATTATTCTGCCTCAGCCTCCCAAGCTGGTGTGATTATAGGCGCATACTACCACGCCCGGCAAGTTTTGTATTTTCAGTAGAAATGGGGTTTCACCATGTTGACCAGGCCAGTCTCGATCTCCCGACCTCAGGCGATCTGCCTGCCTCGGCCTCCCAATGTGCTAGGGTTACAGGCGTGAGCCACTGCGCCTGGCTGCTCATGTTTTTTTTTCCTGTTCCTCTTGACATTTCTGCACTGCTCCAACATTATGATGAATATGTACATTTATTTCTATTTTCATTTTTTCTGGAGTTACTAAGTCAGTCAAGAGTATGTACTAATTTTATAATTAAAAAATAGCTGCAGTCATTGTGAAGAATAGTTGTGAGCTCCCTGTGTCCTCAAAAGCCATTAGTCAATTGAAATGAAGTTAACAGTACAGGCCAGGCGTGGTGGTTCACGCCTGTAATCCCGGCACTTTGGAAGGCTGAGGCGAATGGATCACTTGAGGCCAGGAGTTTGAGACCAGCCTGGCCAACATGACAAAACCCTATCTCTACTAAAAATACAAAAATTAGCCAGGCGTGGTGGCAAGCACCTGTAATCCCAGCTACTTGGGAGGCTGAGGCAGGAGAATCACTTGAACCTGGAGGCGGGGGTTGCAGTGAGCCAAGATCGTGCCACTGCACTTCAGCCTGGGTGATGGAGCGAATCTCCATCTCAAAAAAAATTAAAAAGTTAATAGTGCTAAGGACAACCCTATAAAGGGAAAGGGTGAACAGAAAGAAGAGGGAGGGGAGGGAAGGGAAGTGGAGGGGAGGGGAGGAGAGGGGAGGGGAGGGGAGGGGAGGGGAGGGAAGGTGAAAAAGGGGAGGGGAGGGGAGGGGAGGGGGATTGAAAATGGTGATGAAGAACGTGAGCCCCATGGTTAAGCAACCATTCACCTGGAACCAGGTGAGGACAGCTCACAGGGCAGCAGGCAGCTCTGGAGGTCCTGGGAAGGGTTTAAAGGGACAGGATGGCAGGCAGGAGTCATCCTGGGGCAAGTGAGAATCACAGCTTGACCTCGATCAATCCTGACTCAGAGGTCCACGTGAGCTCTCTGTGTGCTAGGCCCTCACAGGGAGCAGAGGACACTGGTGTGGATGAGAAGGGTGCTGGGGCCAGGCGCGGTAGCTCACACCTGTAATCCCAGCACTTCAGGAGGTGGGGAGTTCGAGACCAGCCTGACCAATACAGAGAAATCCTGTCTCTACTAAAAATACAAAATTAGCCGGGCGTGATGGTGCATGCCTGTAATCCCAGCTACTCCGGAGGCTGAGGTAGGAGAATCTCTTGAACCCAGGAGGCAGAGATTGCAGTGAGCCAAGATTGTGCCATTGTACTCCAGCCTGGGTGGCAAGAGCAAAACTCCATCTCAGAAAAAAAAAAAAAGGGCACTGGCAGAGGTCCCAGGTCTAAAGTCCACTCCAGGTGACCCAAGGGTGGTTCTGTCTGCTCACAGCACTGCCTGCTCCCCTGACATCCTCCCTCAAGTTCGTCTCAGCCTGAGCGTCTCTAACTGTCTGTTCTCACTGGGTGGGCTCACGCATGTCTGCAGGCCAGGGGAGCCACAGTCAGGGGCTAGAAAACGTAAGGAGATAATGGAGATGGAGGGCCAGCACGGTGGCCAGTGGGGAGCGGGAGCCTGTGGTGCGATCTCCATCCCTTGGTTCTTGAGCTCCCGGCTCTGGGGCCACCGGTCATGCCCTGTTGGCTGCCAGAGAGCTGCTTTCAGAACGGTCCCAGTGAAAGCACAGGGCATTTGACAAATCAATTGAATGCAGCCACAGGTACCAAAAACAATATCAGTTGTCTAGGTATCTTAAAAACATTACACTACGTGAAACAAGCCAGACCCAAAAGAACAAATACTGTATGGTTCCATTTACATGGAACACCCAGAGGAGTCAAATTCACAGAGACACAGAGCAGAACAGTTGTTATCAGGGGCTGGGGAAGGAGCTACTCAACAGTACATTTTTAGTTTTCAAAAATTTTTTTTGAGATGGAGTCTTACTGTGTTGCTCAGGCTGGAGTGCAATAGCACGATCTCGGCTCATTACAACCTCCACCTCCTGGGTTCGAGAGATCCTCCTGCCTCAGCCTCCTGAGTAGCTGGGATTACAGGTGCCCACCACCATGCCCAGCTAATTTTTGTATTTTTAGTAGAGACAGGGTTTTGCCATGTTGGCCAGACTAGTCTTGAACTCCTGGCCTCAGGTGATCCACCTGCCTCGGCCTCCCAAAATGCTGGGATTACAGGCGTGAGCCACCGTGCCTAGCCTCAGCAATACATTTGATGGGTACAATTTCCATCTGGGATGACGACAAGGTTCTAGAGATGGATGGAGATGGTTGGTGCACAGCTGCACAACACTGTGTACTTCCTGACGCTGAGTGATTCGCTTAGAAATGGTTAAAATGGCAAATTTTATGTTATATATATTTTACCATAATAAAAATTAATACTGTAATATGACAAAAGTCATTGAATTGTACTTTATTTTTTAAAACTGCTTTTGAGACAGGGCCTGGCTCTGTTGTCCAAGCTGGAGTGCAGTGGTGAAATCTCGGCTCACTGCAGCCTCCACCTCCTAGGCTCAAACTGTCCTCCCACCTCAGCCTCCAGAGTAGCTGGGATCACAGGTGCATGCCACCACACCCAGCTAATTTTTGTAGAGATGGGGGTCTCACTATGTTGCTTAGGCTGGTCTTGAACTCCTGGGCTGAAGCAACCTGCCCATCTTGGTTTCCCAAAGTGCTGGGATTACAGGCATGAGCGACCACATCCAGCCAAATTGTACACTTTAAATGGGGGAACTGTCAGGTATATGAGTAGTATCTCAATAAAGCTGCTTTAAAAAAAAAAATCAGAGTCGAGGATGTCTCTGAGTCCCAGAGCAGGAAGCCTGGGAATAGGGGTGGCTGTGCATGGATCTGCTTCGCACGTAATGATGACATTTCTTTTCAAGACTGGAAGTTTCATTGAGGTTTTCACAGAATCACCCAGGGAACCTGTTCACCTATCACTAACCCAGGCCCAAAATCTCAATGGCCCCAATTCTGCTGGCAATGTGCAGCAGCCTGGGGCTGTGTCTATGGGGCTAAGGGACTCCGTGTCCCCAGAGGCCACGCCTGCTGCCCATAAGCTGGGCTCTCCCTCACCTGCCACACCCTAAACCCGAGGCCTTAACCCCAGAGCCCAGGGCACAGTCACAGCATTGTGGCTTGGCCCTCGGTGGGGCACGGCTCAGGGCGGAGTCACTCACCTCTCTGTCCCGGGGGGCAGTGGGTGCACACCACCTCCCCGCTCTCCGGGATGGTTGTGCAGGCCGACCCGCCAGGGCAGGGACAGGGCCGGCAGTCGTCGGCTTGGCCTGCAAAGGGGTTGCCATAGAAACCTGGCAAGCAGCGCTCACAGGACGGGCCCTCGGTGTGGTGGCCACACACGCAGATCCCTGAGGGCAAGACAAGCACCTGGTTACAACTGTCTGAACCCAGAATGCCCAGAGATGGTGAGCATCCTGGCGGGAGAGGTCAGGGGGCACACCCCAGGTAGGTGGCGTGGGAACTTGACCAGGTGGGGACAGCAGGGCCTGGGGTCTGAGAGTCCAGGCCTGGAGCTGGACCACACAGTTCCCATCCCCTACTTACTGCCTGTGCAAAGCTGCGCAAGTTGTGTAATGGCCCCACACCTCAGCGTCCTCATTTGCAAAATGGGAACAACCGCAGCACTGACTTCGAAGGGTTCTTGTCGGGGTCCAACCAGACCATGCATTCAAAGTACCCCGCACACACCATCATCAGTGCTTATTATTGTGATTTGAGATGGAGTCTGGCTCTGTCACCCAGGCTGGAGTGCAGTGGCACAATCTCGGCTCACTGCAACCTCCACCTTCAAGCGATTCTCCTGCCTCAGCCTCCCAAGCAGCTGCGTTACAGGTGTGTGCCACTTGGCTAATTTTAGTATTTTTAGTAGAGATGGAGTTTCACCATGTTGGCCAGGCTGGTCTCAAACTCCTGACCTCAAGCAATCTGCCTGCCTCGGCCTTCCAAAGTGCTGGGATTACAGGCATGAGCCGCCGCGCCCGGTCAGCACTGTCATTATTTTGTATTCCAAAACCTCTCTCTGAACAAACAGGTGACATAGCTACCATTCACTACACTGTTGTCCCCTTAACTCCAAGGGGACAAAAGGAAGAGCAGCTTTCCCTAAGGGAGACACAGACCCAGAATTGTGGCCTTCACATGACTTTGCGAAGAAGCTCCCCTTTCCGGGGTTTGGGATGCACAGGGGATACCTAGTCTCAGAGGAGGGAACCCCTGTCCCTGCCCTCTGACTCCTGATGGTGGTGGTTTCCGCAAATTCTTCTTCCCCAAGCTGACCACAGCTGGCATCTGCTCAGAGCCTGGTGTGCTTGGGAAGGGAGGCCCACTGGCAGGGATTGAGTGAGAAGCCTGGCTGAGAAGGGGTTAATTAAGACCATCACTTCCAGGAGGTCCCAGGGAGGGCAAGCACAGCCACATGCCACACACCACACGCCACACACAGGGCACTGTCTCTTCTTGTGTCCATGGCAGGCATTGATAATCGAGCCCAGATGAGGCCACATAATCCCTCCCCCCTGCAATGCAGCCAAGGCACAGGTGACCTGGGAGAAAGAGTGAGGACCGGCCGCACATGCACAGCAGGGCTGGCATCCAAGGGGAACCGTCCCAGCCTCAGCCCAGCACCCATAGGCTCACTCCTCCTCCCAGCCTCGGCAGCGGGGCTATGCTGCCCATTTCACAGATGAGGACTTGCCCAAGCTGAGTGGGAAGTGTGGCAGGGCCAGAGGCTCTGTGGAGATGACAAATTGGTCCCAGACATGGGAGGACTCTGCTGCCTCCAAAGGGGCTGTGGGAAGCACTGCAGTGGGGAGGGATTATGTGGCCTTGCCCAGGCTCGATTATCGATGCCTGCCATGGACACAAGAAAAGACGGTACCCTCTGTGTGGCATGTGGCTCTGCTTGCCCTCCCTGGCTAGTTTGGCTAACATCTTTTTTTTTTTTTTTTTTTGAGATGGCATCTCAGTCTATTGCCCAGGCTGGAGTGCAGTGGTGCAATCCCAGCTCACTACAACCTCTGCCTCCTGGGTTCAAGTGATTCTCCTGCCTCAGCCTCCTGTGTAGCTGGGATTACAGGTGTGCGCCACCATGCCTGGCTAATTTTGTATTTTTAGTAGAGACGGGGTTTCACCATTTTGGTCAGGCTGGTCTCGATCTCCTAACCTTAGATGATCCACCCATCTCGGCCTCCTGAAGTACTGGGTGTGCCCAGCTACTGTCTTTCAGGAAGAAAAATGCTCAGCAGCCTTCTTCTCGGAGAGCCCTCACCCGCTCTGGGGAGGCAGCAGGCGTCTAGGCGTGAGGCCCTCAGTGTGGGAGTGCAGAGAGGCCTGGGTCCAGCCTCCTCAGGCACCTCCTGGCCACATGACTTTGAGTGAGGCCAGGTCTGCTACTACAGAAGTGGGGATCAGTGGGCCAGACAGGGTGGCTCAAGCCTGTAATCCCAGCACTTTGGGAGGCCGAGGCGGGAAGATCACTTGAGTCAGGGGTTTGAGACCAGCCTCAACACGGTGAAACCCCATCTCTACTAAAAATACAAAAATCAGCTGAGTATGGTGATGGGCATCTGCAATCCCAGCTGAGGTGGGAGGATCTCTTGAACCCAGCAGGAGGCTGCAGTCAGCCAAGATTGCACCACTGCAGTCCAGCCTGGACGACAGAGTGAGACTCTTTTGCCCCCCTCCCCACCCCACAAAAAATAAAATAAAATATAAAACATAGAATAAAATAAAAAGAAGTGAGAATGAGTAGCCCGTAGTGACCAGGCCCTGGGAGTCCAGGCTGGAGGGAGGCGCAGCTCTGCCACCTGCTGGCCATGCAGGCACCCTGCAGCGTGGGGCCCGCACCTGTGAGATGGGACAGGAAGGCTCCCGGCCCCTGCGGCGATGTCTGCGGGAGTCAACAATGTAGAGAGAAGGGTGACTAGCACAGGCAGAAAAGGGGACACTCTTTTATTATTTCCCAAGTGTCCTGAAAAGTAGAGCCCTTCATTGTCTGCATTTCCCTAAGGCCCTCCCAGTTAGCTACAGCTGAGCTCCAGTGCAACCCAGGTCTCTGTTTTCAGAGCCTGAGTGTCTCCTGACCTCCATGTGGCTTCGTGTAGAAACAGAGGCGGTGTGTACACTGTCATCATCCCCACCTTAAGAAGAGGAAGCAGGCTCAGGGAGGGAAGTGACTTTCCCAAGGCCACTAAAGGGTGAGAGTGGCAGGTCTACAACTCTGGATTGGTGCTTATGAGCTGCTGTCACCTGTGTGACCCTCATGAGAACCCTTCGGCTGTCACCTGCCATGCTGATGCCTCTGCCCTTTCTCGAAGCTCCCTCTGCATATAAGGACCCCCAAGGTGTTTCCCTGGTCCTTCCTGGGAGAAGGGCCAGCCTGGGGAGAAGGTGGTGCATGGACAGACAGCCCGCAGAGCAGCTGGCTTATGGCTCTCACCAAATGGATACAAGGTCCTTGGCACAGAGCCCGAGGCTTCGATAAATTCCAGTGGTAACTTTTATTAAAATATGAGACGCCCAGGCAATAACAGCACGGGCGAGCTCAGTGCCCACACTTCCCCACAGCTTGGCCAACCCCTCAGTGCCTGTGCCAGGATGGCCCTGATCAGGTCAGTAGTCACCTCACTTTTCTGGGTGCAGCCCAGGTGCCTTGGGATGGGGTGCCCGGAGACTCACCTGTGTTGGGGTCACAGGTGCCATGCTGGTTACAGGTGCAGGGGACACAGCTGGCATAGGGACCCCCTCGTGGTGTCTCTCTCTTGTACCCTGGAGCACACGATTCACAGAACTGGCCCGTGTAGCCGTTGGGACACGAACAAGTCTCCACCCAGGAGGCTGGCGGGGAAAGCCCCCGCCGGGCGGATGTGAGCCGGACCTCAGTCAAGAACACTTGGCCTGCAGAGCAAGAAGGGAAAGAGAGAGGCAGAAGCTCCTGCATGTGCTTCCCCCAAAAACCTTCCTGTCACATATGGACCAGGCCCACGTACATACAGGCAGCCTGGGAATCAATGATGATTTTTAAAATTTATTTTTTGAGGCAGATTCTCGTTCTGTCACTCAGGCTGGAGGGCAGTGGTGCAATCCTAGCTCACTGCAGCCTCGACTTCCCAGGCTCCAGTGATCCTACCACGTCACCCTCCCAAAGTAGACTGGCAGGCAAGCCACCAAGCCCAGCTAATTTAAAAATTTTTTTTAGAGATGGGGTTTCTCCATGTTGCCCAGGCTGGTCTCGAACTCCTGGCCTCAAGTAATCCTCCTGCCTCGGCCTCCCAAAGGGCTGGGATTGCATGTGTGAGCACCGTGCCAGTTGACTTTTTTTAAAAAAATGGTCAATTCAAGCGTAAGGAAGTTGAATCGGCAGTTTTCAAGAAGAAATAGACATGGCTGAGAATTTTACAGAAAGATATCCACTCCACAGGTTATCAAAGAAATTTAAACAACGATACCACTCACACCTCTCAGACTGGTAACATTTTATAGATTAATTTTCGTGGGGGATAGGACATAGGAATCTCATCTGGCTTGCTCATAACTGAATGCTACATTTAGGCAAAGTTTAAGGTCTATTTCTAAAGTTTTAAGATTTGTTTTTGTTGCTCTTGTTCGTTTTTGAGAGAGGCAGGGTCTTGCTCTGTCACGCAGGGGAGTGCAGTGAACTCCTGCCTCAAATGACTCTTCTGCCTCAGCCTCCCAAGTAGCTGGACCAAAGGTATGTGCCACCACGCCCAGCTCAATTTTAAATTTTTTGTAGAAAAAAGGTTTTGCCGTGTTGCCCACGCTGGTTTTGAACTCCTGGCCTCAAAGAAAATGAACATTTTGCATTTAGGTAAACTATGGCATATACATTTTAAACATAAAGAAATCTGATATTTGAAAAAAAACGAGTGTGGATGTATGAATACAAATCGGGAGTCTTTGCCTCCAGTAACAGAGGAGTGGGATCCTAGCAGATCAACCTTCCCACAGAAAACACCTAGAAACTCCGGGCAAAATAGGAAAATGACCATCTGTAGACACAGAAAACGGGCAGATTGGAGGCAGCTGATGCGCCTCATCGGAGCAGGCCTTCTGAAGGCAAATTCGGCAGCGTGGATCAAAACGGCAAACGCTCCGCTTTGACCTAACATTTCCATTTCCAACGTTCTGACCTAAGGCAACACTCGTACTGGAATACCAAGGCCTTTCTATGAGGATGGTCCCTACTCCCTGTGACACGGTTGTAATGGGGAAAACTAACCATCTGAGCCAGAGGTTCTCAAAAGGAGCAAAATCTCCCTCCCCGGAAGCAAATCTGAGGACATGTTGGTTGTCATGTGGATGAAGAGGCCTAAAGTTCCCAGAAACTCCCCATGTGACTTTCAAATGTCCTGCTTGGTGCTGGAAGGGTAGAAAAACCCCACTGTAAACATCTGAGTCTAGACCTCCCTTCATTTTACACATAGACACTTGGGTTTTTGGTTTTTTTTAGAGACAAGGTCTCGCTCTGTCACCCAGGCTGAGGTGTGGTGGTACAATCACTACAGTCTTGACCTCCTGGGCTCAAGTGGTCCTCTAGCCTCAGCCTCCTGAGTAGCTTGGACTACAGGTATGGGCCACCACACCGGGCTGGTTTTTTGTTGTTGTTTTGAGACGGAGTCTGGCTCTGTTGCCCAGTCTGGAGTACAGCAGTACAATCTTGGCTCACTGCAACCTCCACCTCTTGGGTTTAAGCGATTCTCCTGTCTCAGCCCCCCAAGTAGCTGGGATTACAGATGCCTGCCACCACGCCCAGCTAATTTTTGTATTTTTAGTAGAGACGGGGTTTCACCACATTGGCCAGGCTGGTCTCGAACTCCTGACCTCAGATGATCCCTCTGCGTCAGCCTCCCAAAGTACCCAAAGGGATTACAGGTGTGAGCCACCTCGCCTAACCTGACTTAGTTTCAAAACATTTTTTTTTGTAGAGATGAGGTCTTGGTTTGTTGCCAAAGGCTGGTCTGGAACTCCAGCCCTCAAATGATCCCTCCTGCCTCAACCTCCCAAGGTGCTGGGAATAATAGGCGTGAGCTACTGCACCCGGCCTCTGCGGTATTTTTGAACATTTTAAGTGCACAGGGCATTGTTCAGGGATGCAGAGGTCATGCTGACGGAGGGAACGCTGTGCTTTGCTTCATTCAGAATTTTCCCTACAGTCACTCACCCACAATGGCACCCTGGCCCCGGGGTTTCCGTCACCATCGTCATCACACTGCCTCCCATCGGCAACCTGCTCTGTAGCTTCCCCACCCATGGTGATCCAGCAAATCTTCCCACTTAGTTATGATTCCAAAATGGCAAACACAAAGGGCTCAAAGAGTAAGGGTCATCATATTCAGCTGAATGTCTGAAATTCGGTTTCATAGCTTCACTCACAGATCAACACTTCCTCTGCCAAGTGTTTTCCCCAATGGAGCAATAAAACAAAACCACCGAGGCTTAAATAAGCCTTTTAAAAGAAGCGCGTCATGGGCCAGGCACGGTGGCTCACGCCTGTTATCCCAGCACTTTGGGAGGCCGAGGTGGATGGATCACCTGAGGTCAGGAGTTTGAGACCAGGCTGGCCAACATGGAGAAACCCCGTCTCTACCAGAAATACAAAAATCAGCCAGGCGTGGTGGCACATGCCTGTAATCTCAGCTACTCTGGAGGCTGAAGCAGGAGAATCCCTTTGACCCAGGAGGCGGAGGTTACAGCGAGCTGAGATCGCACCACTGCACTCCAACCTGGGCGACAACAGTGAAACTGTCTCAAAAAATAAAATAATAAATAAATAAATAAATAAAATAAAAGAAGTGGCTGGGCGTGGTAGCTCATGCCTGTAATCACAGTACTTTGGGAGGTCTAGGCAGGCAGATCATAAGTTTGGGTGTTTGAGACCAGCCTAGCCAACAAGGTGAAATCCCGTCTCTACTAAAAATACAAAAAAATTAGCTGGGCATGGTGGCACACGCCTGTAATCCCAGCTACTCAGGAGGCTGAGGAAGGAGGATCGCTTGAACCTGGAAGGTGGAGGTTGCAGTCAGCCGAGATTGCACCATTGCACTGCAGCCTGGGCGACAGAGCAAGGCTCCATCTCAAAATAAATAGAATGGAATGGAAAGGAATGGAAGCAGCACACTACGAGGTGGGGGAGCTGCATGACTCACGCTCACCGTGCTCTGGCCTGTGACTAGGAGAGCCCGCCGAGCTCCATTCCCAGCCACTGTCCTCACTGAGGGACCTTGCTGACACTGCTCACATGAGCCGGCCTGTTCCCGCTGCTCTCAACCCTGGTTTGTGTTCCCGCGTTAGCCATCCACGGCGCTGTCTGCACTGCCTGCCCTCTGTGTAAACGGCTTCTGAGCATCTTACTTCTCCTAAAACCAAATTTAATCCTGACAGCAGGGAAGGTCTCGCCACTTCCTCATGTCTTCTAGCGCGGTCGCGTCTGAGCACTGACAATTTGGAATTCAGAGGATTGTATGTGACATCATCGCTTTTCCTTTTATGTATTCTGTACATTACAGTTAGGATATCGTGGGCTCGGGCATGGTAGCTCACACCTGTAATCCCAGTACTGTGAGGACAGTGGGATTGCTTGAGCCCCGGAGTCTGAGAGCTGCCTGGGCACACACAGTGAGACCTTGTCTACAAAAAAAAAAAAAAAAAAAAAAAAAGAATTATTTGTATAATCCAGCTAGGGTATGGCGGTGTGCGTCTGTGGTCCCACCTACGTGGGGAGCTGAGGTGGGAGGGCTGCTTGAGCTGAAGAGGTCAAGGCTGCCACGAGCCATGAGGCTTCCACTGCACTCCAGCCTGGGCGATGGGGCAAGCCCCTGCCCCTCATCCCCCACTCCCCCCAAAAAAGTACATTATACTAATTTTTAAAATAGCGTGCGGGTAGGTTATAAGGAGGAACAGATCACAGGCTAAGGCCGTCAATCACTGTGGCCAGGGTGGGGGGTGGTGACAGATCCCATCAATGACCCATGGTGGCCCGGCCCCCTCTTAGGGAAGGCTTAGGTACAATACCGCCAGTGACCAGCAGGGGAGTCGCTCTCCCAGGGGACTAGGCTGCCGGCTGTGTGCTGCGTCTAGCAGGGACAGAGGACTTGGTGGATTCAGTGAAGGTGGAGTGACCACACCCAATGGGTCTGGGTGGCTTGCTGGCCGCATACCTGCCTCTGAGACCCTTGCCCGTCCAGTCCCTGCCTCTGACCTCAGCCGCCATCCCCACTGCCTCCACAACTGCCAGAGGTTATAGGACCTCCAGCAATTGTCCTGATCTGTGACTCAGATTCCTTCTTGGCAAAACGGGACAACAACCGTCCAGCCGTGAGGCCCCGACAAGGCTGTGCACGCAGGAGCCCAGTTCTGAGACCTGCAGTGCTCGGGTCTTGGGCATGTCTTTGTCTTTACTGACCGGTAGGGTTAGGGCCGGGGCTGACGCGGAGGCGAAGGCTGGTGAGGTTGGCGAGGAGCCGCTGGAAGTGGAAGGGGGGCAGTGGAGGGGTCACGTCCTCGGAGGTCTCCTGCAGGCTGGCGGGAAAAGCGGTCAAAGCAAGATCCCGACATAGGGTGGCGGTACCATGACTGGGGAGGGGGTGCAGCCCCCCCCAGACCACAGGGGCATCTGAAATGTGCCTGGACCTCAGAAACCACCCCTCCACCTCCCCATCTCTCAAGATAGAAGCGGATACTTACTGGAACCTGAGCTCCACCTCCCTGGGGTGCCCGGCATCCTGGGGGCCGGAGGGGCTAGAGTGCCTCAGGGACAGGGCCAAGCCCGCCCCTTCCAGCCTCAGCTGCACAGGGAGTGGGGAGCCCCCAGGGGGCACCTGGAAGGTCAGGATGAGGGTCTGCCCATAGCTGAACCGCTGGTCTCCCAGGAACTTATCTGAAGACAAGAGAAGAAGGCTTTGACAATCTTCATACAGTTAGCTTGATTTTAAATGTCTATATTGATTTTATCGGCAGCTAAACATTCAAACAAGATAAAACTGCAGTGGGAGGCCGGGCGCGGTGGCTCACGCCTGTAATCCCAGCACTTTGGGAGGCCGAGGCGGGTGGATCACGAGGTCAAGAGATCGAGACCATCCTGGTCAACGCAGTGAAACCCC